GTGTTTTTGTGACTGAGATATCTCACTCAGCATAATGTCCTCCAGGGTCACCCAGTTTGTAGAATATTCTATTACTTGTTTTTCAGTGCTGCATGGTATTTCATTGTGTGACTATACCACAGCTTCTCTATCCATTCATCTGTTGATGGGTACTTGGGTTGCTCCCATCTCTTTGCTATTGTGAATAATGTAGCAATAAATATGGGTGTGCATGTATCTGGGTGGCAGTTCTGGTTTCTTTGGGGTATATTTCCAGTAGTGCAATTGCTGGGTCAAGGCAAAAGCTTTTAATCCATACTTTTAACAACTGCTCTAGCCATAAGACAGACTTACTGGAAAAGCATGCATGTCTCCAATACAACAAAAATTACGGGATGAGCCCTGCAATTCAACTTTCAGGCAAACAACAAACAAGCCTAAAAGTTCTCTCCAGGAAGAAACGCATCCCTCAAGACAGTCAACCACACAAAATCAAAAGTGCAGCACGTGCCAGAGACAAAGCTCAGAAGTCAGGCTGGGAAAAGATAAATGGAAATGAGAAACTCAAGGATGAAGTAAGTGGGCACATGTAGAGGCTGTAATCAATGGCAGGAAACATAACGTGTATAAACTGTTGAATGGAAATCAGTTTGCCCTGTATGTAAACTGCCACTCAAAACACAAGAAACGTTTTTTGAGAATGCAGAAAACTATATGGCCTGCTAGCTGCTCCCGAAGCTGACTCCCGTCATTCTGTATATGATGATTGAAAGATTGCAGGTTTACCCTTTAAGATCTAAGAAAAATTAATTACCCTTATTTTCAAAAGTACTTCAATACCAGAGGGAAATGAACTAGATTTATCAGGCACTGATTAAATAATCTTTATAGTGCCTATTTCTTCCTGGACAGAGGAAGCAGATAGATACAAGGAAGCTTATCAACGTGAGCACTCCTTTCAAAACGTGGGTGTGCATGCATGCACACATGTAGCTTAAGAAGCAGAGGTATTAGAGATGACTTTAAAAGCCTGGATGGGCTTTAACTTAAAAAATCATAAATGCACAGAAAAACATGGCAAGAAAAAACAAACAAAAAAAACCATGGCAAGATAGTAGAACTGCTTGCTACACTAATGTAGAAATACTACACAGAAACTAACTCCCACTGTTCTTCCTGTTACTTTGGTGATAAATATTCATGCATTTATTAACAGAGCTAAAAATCTTCTAGGAGCATATGTCCAAGATTATTCATGAGGGAGGGAAAAAAAATTCCTGTCAATTGTTGTCATATACCATCAAGTCTGAGCCAACGCATAGCTGACCCTCCAGGGTTTTCAGAGGCAGTTAATCTCCTAGGCTAGAACAGCAGGCTACATTTAATAATAATAACAATAATAATAAGGAGTCCACATTCCTAGTATGGTACATGAATACAAGGTATATTATACAGATTAAAAAGAGAATGAGGTTATCAATGGATAAACAAAATTTGGATATGCATGCTGTTGTTAGATGCTGTGGAGCTGGCTACGACCACATGAACTGCAGACCTGAATCTTATCCTGATCTCATGATATTTGATATGTTCAAGCTCATTGTTAAGAGTCACTCTGTCAATCCGTTTGCTGAGAAAGAGCCTCAACAAGACGATCTACACATGGAACAGAATCACTTAAGGAAACTATACTGAGTAAAATAAGTCAATCACAAAGGGACAAATGTTATCTAACTTCACATACATAGAAACAAAAAGCAAATGTAGAGACAATAAAGTTTCTCAGTGATTATGAGATGCCATGAACTGAATCATAGCTTCCTAAAATATAAGTCAACTTGGCTAAGACCATGTTTTTAGAATTTTGTAAATTATCTTGTTTTAAAAATTCTAACTTGTGTGATACATTGATGAGTCAGAATTGGAGGCAGTTATGTAATGATGTCATCCCCCATGACATGCTCCAATGTGATCAGGCAATCAATGATAAGTGGATCAGGGTGGAAGGCAATGCTCTTCAGCAGGTCAAAGCCTCATCAGATGGAAGGGGAGCTTCCTGGAGGAGGTGGTGTACAGCACCCTTAATCTTACAAGAGACAAAAGGATAGATGGGAGGAGTCCAGGATGAAGATCCAGGAATGGAGCACATCCTTTGGGTCCAGGTTCCTGGCCTGTGAAACTCCTTGAACCAGAAGACATAGAAGGAACACCTCCCTCCAGAGCTGACACCCTACATTTGGATTTCTAGCCTCCTAAATTGAAAAAGGATAACTTTTTGTTTGTTCCAGTATGGAGATGGTATAGAGAGAGTACCAAACTCTCTGAAATGGCAAATAACAAGATGAAGCACAGCCTAAACGGCACACTCTGCTTTTCTTTACACTAGAAACGTAAGAGAATTGTTAAGGAACCGAGAAAAGCGGCTCCACAGGGATGAGAGGTGAGGGGGAAGAGGGCTGGACTCGAGGACACAGGTGTCAGCCTTCCCAGTTTTTTCAACTGTCAGTCATGTGACCTTACCACTCATTCAAAAAGAAATAATCTAAATAATGTGATTTCTTTTACTCCCATCTCCTTTTAGTAAAGAGTACTTTTCTATTTTATGAGACAACAAACTCTAGTCCTGACCTGAAACCAACTGTTCTTGGAACTCTTTAGTGTCAGCTTTAATGATCATTATCAGTTAGAAGTTCCATTAAAAAAATCTATGGGGAGGGAGCTCTGGTGGCCTAGTGGCAAGAAACTGTGCTGCAATACCGAAGGTGCACGGTTTGAATCACCAGATGCTCTGCTGGAGAAGGAGGAGCAATCTCCTCCTGTGCCTGTCAGATCCAATTCGATGGCACACACTAACCATAAAAAAAAAATTCTACGGAAGCTGTGACCATCATTACAGGCACAGATGACAAGTTTCTTTCTAAAACAAAGGCTGTGAGAGTAGAGCTATTAGGATGACTTCCCAGGAGCCACAGGGACAGTCCAATCACCTGCAGAAAGTGGCCTCTGTTCTTTGCTTTGCAGATTCTCAGCATTCCCAGGAGAAACTTCTCAATGCTAGCCTCTCTGATTCCTCAGCAGGGGCAAGGCCTCTGAGTTTTGTTTCAGTTCCAGCACAAAGACCAGCTGCTACTCCCCCAAAATTATTCAGGGCAAGTTCAAAATCCAGTTCCACGTAAAAGGCAGAGGCAGATGGAACGCCAGCTTGTGTGTGATCCTGGCCATACCCCCTCATCTTCTTACCTATGAAACGAAAGGCCGGCCAAATTCCCTCTAAAATCCCTTTCAGGTCTAAAACACTGTAATCCCATAAAGAGCCAAATCAACTTTAAGGTCAGATGAAGGGCAGCAGCTGCTTCTAGACCAGAACACTTTCCCAAGCTCACACAGCTTTTAAGTTTTCACAAGGGCTTACTGACTGAAACAGGTGAGTGTGTCTACCTTCAGCATACTTAATTTGATACAGGTGCTGTAAAATGTTCCCTCCAACTTCTGATGGAAAATGAGTTACAACTTAGTAAACCTGTTAAAAGCCTCGCAGAGGTAGAGAGATTGTTTAAGGTGAAAATAGTAAAGTGAAGAAAGTTTATGAAAATAAGCATGTTGATTAAGAAATATTTTCGTTTCAAAAAACCCTTAATACTTCTATTGGCATCCTCCAAGATTCCTAGTCTATTAATACCCACTGGGGAATAGGCTTTCAGACCTTTATCAATGTTCATTCCCACGTGTAAAGGGGGGGTGAGTGAGTACTCCCTGAGGAAGTAACTGCTGGAAAACTTAGAGCTCAGCAAAACGTGCCCCATCTTCTGATCAATAAAACCTAAGTGATTCGAGAAAGGAAGAAGGGGGGGGGGGAAAGGTCTGCAAATACTCCTGCAAGATGCATGCCTCTTTTCCTGCTAGTTTCTGAGTCCTAATTAGCCAAAGTTTATTAAAATAGGAGAGAACTCCATTTGAGGCCGGGCTTCCAAAACAGCTTAATCGCATTCCTCTCTGCCAGGAGTCATTCTCTGGCACAAAAGCTGTGCCAGTGGGGCTCTGCCAGCCAGCGCTGCGGGGCTGCAGGGCTTGCAGGTTCATTGTCTGGTCCTCGCCTTCACCTGGCAGAAGCCGGGCGCACTGCTGAGCCCAGATCATCTCATTAGCGCGTCTCCATCCAACCAGAGAAACACCTCCTCTAATTCTGACACCTCGCTGCAGGATCACCTAGATAGCCCGTCCTCAACCAGAAAGAAGGTGGCAGTCACCACGCCAGGAAAAGTCCTGGCAGCAGCAATTAAAGATGACAAAGAGCTGGAGGCCGGCTCACTGCAGGAGCAATTAAGGGATGAGGGGTGCTCCCTAGATGGGGCTCCCTCCTCGGGATCCTCCCCCATCTCCCATGCTAGGCCACACACGAGGCGCTCTGGGACTGAACTATCGATCTAGAACGCAATCGCGATCCTATACATCATCAATCGCTCCGCTGGGTCCAAGAGCTCGCCGCCCCCCGACCCCCCGTCCCCACTTCCAGAAAAGCCAGGCTCCCCGACCCCGAGGCAAAGGCACCACCGCAGCTCCGACTCTGACATCTCACGCCTGTCGGCCACTCGCTGCAGCACCGAGCAGCGCTGCAAGACGAAGGCGCTTTTTCGGCCTCCATCTTCCCACGACAAGTCCACTTCGAAGCTGTCCCCTCGCGGGAGGCCGGCATGCGGCAGAGACCACGGACAGCACCCAGCCCGGGCTCCCGGACGCGCACGCCGCCTGGCCTCGCCCCTCCGCAGGCGGGGTGTCCGGGCCGACCACCGAGCAGGCCGCGCGCGTCCCCGCCCGGGGGGCTCGTGACCTCGGTGACCCCGCCAGGCTCCCACGCGCCTCGGCACTCAGCGCCCCTCGATAGTTTGGGGGTGACCTCTCTCCACCTGGGCCCAGCCCCCGACCAGACCGGCTCGGACACCTCCCCCCCCACCTCGATACTTCTTGCCCGGCTCCCCAAGCCCCCGCCCGCCCGGCTGGCCGTGCCCACCGCAGACCCTCACCAGACTTGGGCGGGTAGCGGTACACGGAATTGGACGGGATGTCCACCTCCTCCACGCCCGCTTGCTGCCGGCTGGTCAGGGCCCCCATGGCCGCGGCTGCGCGGCGCCCTCCGCCTCACCGCGGCCGCTCGCCCCGCGCCGGGTGCGGGAC